GTGTGGGTTTCCTAATCAAGTCCAATCAGTATAATCAAATACAGCTGGACTCAAATGAAGGTGTAGAACCATCTCAAGGATGATCAGAAGAAATGGACAGCACCTGAGTTAAATATATGAGTGTCACAGCAAAGGGTCTGAATACTTAGGACCATGTGATATTTCAGTTTTTCTTTTTTAATAAATCTGCAAAAATGTCAACAATTCTGTGTTTTTCTGTCAAAATGGGGTGCTGTGTGTACATTAATGAGGAAAATAAATTTACTTAAATGATTTTAGTAAATGGCTGCAATATAACAAAGAGTGAAAAATTTAAGGGGGTCTGAATACTTTCCGTACCCACTGTATATAGGCCAATTAAGTCATTATGAGCTACACCCAAAAGTATATTGTCACATATCTGCTAAATTATTAAATGAATCAAAATACATTTTATAACTTTCTGTCTGGAGTATTTTGAGATAAATAAAAACAAAATATACATTTGTAGGTCTTAACACATATATTCACAGAAAACAAGACTGGTTTTTGGACCAAATTTTGTTATCAATGTATATCAAGTAAATCAAACTTTGGACTTTGTGTTAAGAAGGCCAGTTCAAGATAGATTATTTAAAGGGGTCATATGATGCTGCTAAAAAGAACATTATTTTGTGTATTTGGAGTAATGAAATGTGTTTATGCGGTTTAAAGTTAAAAAAACACATTATTTTCCACATACTGTACATTATTGTTTCTCCTCTATACCCCGCCTTTCTGAAATGCGTCGATTTTTACAAAGCTCATCGGTCTGAAAAAGCGAGGTGTGCTGTGATTGGCCAGCTATCCAGTGTGTTGGGATTGGCCGAATACCTCAAGTGTGAGACGGAAATGTTACGCCCCTCACCATACTGTTGATGCCGTGTCCCGGCCGGAGCCAAGAGACAAAAACATTAAAACCCATTATAAACGAGGCATTTGTTGCATCCAGTGGGGACATAATTACTGATTATAATGACTTATACTGTCTTTTTACGCGTTGCGTTGCATCGCGCCACGTAAGCATAAAACCCTCTCTGCATTTGTGATCAGAGAAATGACAAACAACAAGTGCTACTCTACACTGCCCAAAACTCGTGTTTGAATCATCAGTGACAAATCCTTTAAATGAAAACGTACTTACAGACTGAGTCAGAACTGCCGGCATTGTAGTCTACTCTTCCAGGATCAGTAAACAGTCCTCCATAAAATGTGCTGCACACATCTGGATATTTGGGTTAAACTGTTCTGGAACAGTGTTGTAAATGCAACTTAACCACTGATTTGTAGTCTTGTCCTCTTTTGGAAGACCAAACAAAGTAGTTTCACTTTCACAACGAAAAACACAGCGGCCTAGTGTGAGCAGAAGCCCCGGCTTAGCGTGAGCTGAGGCCGGGATAGAGTGAGCAGAGGCAGGCAGGGTCGAGAACGGCGGGCTGGACTCCGTTTCGTCCACGGTGAAAGCCGATCCGGCGATCCACAGCACTAAGTTGATGTATTCCCTCTTTTGGAAGGCCAAACAAAGTAGTTTCGCTTTCACAACGAAACACACAG